AATCCCATCAGAAGCCTCAACGATCTCTTCCAACCTTCGGAGAGACTCTAAACTCTCTATCTTTGCCAATACTTTTATCGCCCTGCAATCAAACTCACTTCGAATCAATGTCAAAATTTATAATGAGGATGTATTACATGTAAGTGGATTAGAAAAAGTAAAATAGATGTACTGCTAATCAATGATGAGTTATACTGTTATCTGTGGATCAAAACTATGCAGCTTAGGGAAGGACTGAAGTGGAAGATAATTGTTGAAGCTAACAAGAATCTTTTGCTCACACATCGTGACTTACTTGGAGGATTTAGTTGCTAGGTAGTCCTTCAGATGCTTGATTGCATCAGCATCTTTTACAAATGAAACAGCAATGAAATCAATATCTTCAGATATTCCAAACACAATGTCTGACCAATCCTGTGGATCATGCATCACAGCATTCAAAATGGTTAAAACTGAACCATTTCGACCTATCAATTCTTCGATCATTTATGTCATTTCAAACACTTAGACGGAGCATGTTGAAGAAAAACAATCCTGTTTAAGCTAAACTCGAGCATGCATATATATATATATATATATATTAGTGAGTAAAAACTTGACCAGTAAGTTTACTGACCTTTGTTGATAGAGTGGGGAGGTCATAACCTGTTCCTAAAAGCTTGCCATCTCTCCAAAAACTCAACTTAGCTCTAGGCAGAAGCAGACCAGGATCTGTGCACTTGCAGCGCAAGTCATTCCCGACTCTCTCTATAACTTCAAAGGTTGCCATTCCACCATCTATGACAATTTCATCACCAGGATTGACACCTAAATAGGAGAAAGAAAAAATTTAACCGCAGTAACTTTTTGCAACCAAACGGAAAGAATTTATTTTTATAAGTGAAATTACCTTCAGAAAAAACTTCATAATTTGCCTGAATTGTAAATGGACGAGAACCTTCAAACTTCTCAGTTGTAAAGTACCAGATTGAATCCTCCTAATGCACATCAATGACCATAATTCAAGTTAGACTTCAAACTTTTCCTTTTCAACAATATTGGTTAATTTCACGTATAATTACTGAACTTTATCCACTATAACAGTAAAGTTACAATGCTAATGATTTGTTTTACCCACTATAACAATTTAGTCAAAAATTGACAACCAATATTTATAACAAAAGACAACTAAATAACATTTAAATCAAACAAAAAAAAATGGATCTCAGCGCCGGAAATTTAGTCATTTGTATTTTCTTAGCCATTCACACATAGTTCAATTATGAGAAAAAATAGTTTTGCGACTTAACTATTATAGTGGATAAAATTTAGTGACTACAAGCGAAACTAATCCAGCAATATTATACAATAAAAATCACAAAACAACTTGCACAGTGAGAAGATTTTGGTTAATTACCTCTGCTTTGACAGAAGATGAAGAGCCATGATCAACTACCTGTATTTGATTCCCCTCTGTATCAATCATAACAGACACACTATAGCCCTTTTCTTGATTCAAAATCTTAATTTTCCTAATCACATCTTGATGCCACTCCCTTGAGTTATGACACATATTTAGCCTAGCCACATTCATACCTGCCATAGCCAACTTCTCCAACTCATCCAAAGAACAACAAGCTGGTCCAATTGTGCAAACTAACTTTGTTTTCCTTAACCCCAAAAATCCATTTTCCTTTAGTTCCCTTTCTGTCACCACATCAAAGCCTAATGACCCTTCTTTTAAACTCTTCAATTCATTTAAACTTTGAATTTTTTCCAACCCCACTTGCATCACTGCTTTGACAGCAATTCTTGATTTTTTAATAACTTCCAAATTTCTAGCATGAGAAAAACTAAACCTTTGACTTGAAGAAACTGGAACACCAAACACCCTTTTCTCCAATTTACTGATTACCTTATTTGGACTGATCTTAGTCCCCATCAAAGCTAAATCTCCCACTACTGCCATCTTTAGGAGTATAACCAAAACCCCTGAAAATCTTATCAAAGGTTAAGGCCTAAATAAAAACTATAGAACTTGTTGTTGTTGTCAAATTAGTAAGCTAGTATTAACTATATAGGAAACAGATTGAGAATTCCGCCAAGATTTTGTACCTAGCACCTAGATAACATAAATTCTTTCTTTCTGTGGAGTTTACAAGGTACACGAAGGAGAATAATAATTAAAAAGCAGTACGGATTTTGTATAAAAAAAAAAGCATATGCTTTATATGGAAGAAGGGTTTTAGTTAGGACAAAAACAGAAAAACCCTAGTAGACATAGAGAGGGGGGTCCAACCAATGTCGTAAAGTAAGCAGGGAACAGTTACATTACATGTCTAAAAAGTTGTTGTTGTTTGAAACAGAGGGGGACAGCTGAAAAAGGGCGGTACAGTTGGCACAAAATTTGGCCTAACTTAACGGTTAACTCCTTCGGTCCATACAATTGGCCAATGGGAACCTTACCAAAAAATTCGGCCTTTTAATGCAGGTGTTATTGACTCTTGGCGCAGTTTCTGTAGGACGTGGAGGAAAACAGGCTATGTTTGAAAATGGAAGAGAAATCTGAATGGCCATAACTACACTCGCAAAAATAATATAACAGTATTTAATAGTTGAAGTTTCGCCATAAAATTTTGGGTTTAGAATTTGAATTCGAGTAAATTAATTACTTTAAGCTAAAATAGAGTGAAGTTTTCCAAGTCTTCAACTTGGAAAAAAGAAAGAAAAAAACTTCCGCTGTAACTTTTTCAAAGTGAAGTTTATGTTCGACGGCAATCTTTTAACTTCAACAATCTTTTTTCAATTTCAACTAATATTTCGTCCAAAAAGTAGTACATATCTTTGAATATTTTTAATGAAAAATATTGGAATTTCACAAAGAGTATTATGCTTAATTTCTTAACCCTGTTAGGACCGGAAAATATTATCTGTTTCGCCTATAACCTATTGGGTTGTGAGAACTTCCATCGGCTTCAAACTTGACGAGTAAAATGGCATTCAACGACAACAGTCACCCAGTGAAATCTCACTAGTGGAGTCTGGAAATAATAGTGTGTATGCAGACTTTACCCCTAACCCGAGGGGTAGAAAGATTGTCTCCGATAGACCCTCGGCTCAAGAAGATAAAAAGACGATGAAAAGAGATAATATATCAGTACCATCAATAAAAATCATAGGGAAAAAAACAACGGCATCACAAGAACCAGAAAATAGATGAAAAGCAAAACAATAACCAGTAGATAAAGCCTGGCACTAAGAGAAACAAAAGAGTGGTGTAAACTCAACATTAACCACTAGCAGTCTAAGACTAACTCCTAACAGACTAGCCTCGCTCTAGAGCGCCGTAAAATATGCAACTACCCCCTAACCTACAACCTTAATGCTCGACATCTATAACTTCCTGTCTAGGGTCATGTCCTCTGTAATCTGAAGCTATGTCATGTCCTGCATGATCACCTCTCCCGAATACTTCTTAGGACGCCCTCTACCTCTCCTCGTACCCACCAAAGTCATCCGCCCACACCTCCTTACCGGGCATCTAGGCTTCTCCTCTGAACGTGCCCGAACCATCTGAGCCTTGCTTCCCGCAGTTTATTATCTATGGGGGCCACACCCACCTTCTCCCGAATATCTTCATTCCTAATCTAATCCATCTTAGTGTGCCCGCACATCCACCTCAACATCCTCATTTCTGCTACTTTCATTTTCTGGATATGTGAGTTCTTAACTGGCCAACATTCAGCCCCATGCAATATGGCCAATCTAACCACCGCCCTATCGAACTTACCTTTGAGTATCGGTGGTACTTTCTTGTCACACAGGACTCTAGACGCTAACCTCTACTTCATCCATCCCACCTTTATATATGTGTGACATCCTCGTCGATCTCACCATCCCCTGTATCACCGACCCAAGGTACTTGAAACTTCTCCTCTTGGGGACGACCTATGATTCAAGCCTCACGTCCACTCCCGCTTCCGTCAGCTCGATGCTGAACTTGCACTCTGTATTCCGTCTTAGTCCTGCTCAACTTGAAACCCTTAGACTTGAGGGCATGTCTCCAAACCTCTAGCCTCTCGTTGACTCCGCCTCACGACTCATCAATTAGAACTATGTCGTCAGCAAATAACATACACCATGGCACCTCCCCTAAGATATGTATGTCAGTGCATCCATCACCAGGGCAAATAGGAATGGCTGAGCGCCGACCCTAAGTGTAACCCCATAACAACCAGAAAATGCTCCGAGTCGCCTCCCACTGTCCTACCCCGAGTCTTAGCTCCATCATACATGTCCTTAATTACCCTAATGTAAGCAACCGGCACACCTTTTGCCTCCAGGCATCTCCATAGAACCTCTCTAGGAACATTGTCATATGCTTTCTCCATATCAATAAACACCATGTGCAGGTCCTTCTCCTATCCCTAGCCCTGTACTTTTCCACCAACCTCCTAATAAGGTGGATAGCTTCCGTGGTAGAATGCCCCGTCATGAACCCAAGTTGGTTGTCTAAAATAGACATTATCCTCCTCACCCTCACTTCTACCACCCTCTCCCAAACTTTTATGGTATGACTCAGTAATTTGATACCCCTATAGTTGTTACAGCTCTAGATATCACCTTTATTCTTGTACAATGGGACCACCGTGCTCCACCTCCACTCCTCCAGTATCCTTTTCGTCTTGAAAATAACATTAAATGGCACATTCAGCCACTCCAAGCCTGCTCTACCCACATACCTCCAAAATTCTACCGAAATTTTTCTGGTCCGGTTGCTCTGCCCCTACTCATCTTACGCATAGCCTCCACGGCCTCCTCAACCTTGATGCGCCTACAATACTTAAAGTCACGGTGACTCTCAAAATGCCATAATTCACCTAGCACAATATCCCGATCCCCTTCTTCATTCAGAAGTATATGAAAGTAGGTTTGACATCTCCGCTTAATTTGGTCATGCCTCGTCAAAACTATACCGTCCTCATCTTTGATGCACCTCACTTGATCCAGTTCTCGAGCCTTCATCTCTCTCTCGCCTTGGCCAGCCGGAATATATTCTTCTCCCTGCCTTTGTCCTCCAGATCCTCGTATAGACGAGCAAAAGTCGTAGCCTTAGCCTCCGTGACCGCTAGCTTCGCCTCCTCCCTAGCGGCCTTATACCTCTCACTGTTCGCTCTTTTCTCCTCCTCGCCAGTGCTCCCTACTAACTTTAGGTACGCCGCCTTCTTCGCTTCCACTTTACCTTGGACCACTTCATTCCACCTCAGTCACATTTGTGCCCACCAGAGTAGCTCGACGAGACCCCTAACACCTCTCTCGCCGCCTTCCTAATACAGTCTGTCGTTGTCGATCACATAATGCTCGCGTCCCCACTACTCCTCCAGGATCCCATAGCCGATAACTTTCCTCCCAACTCCTAAGCTTTATCCTCAGTCAAGTCACCCCACATGATCCTCGGGCGTCCTCGTACTGACCTCTTCTTCCTCATTATCATAATACCGACGTCCATCACCAAGAGCCTATGTTACATCGCGAGGGTCTCACCTGGGATAACCTTGCAATCCTTATACAACCTTCTGTCGATCTGAGTCTTCGCCACCGTGCTTTGGAAAGTAACAAATGCTCATCCCTCTTCGGAAAAATCGAGTTCGCAATCACCAGCTCAAATCCCCTAGCGAAATCTAACAGCGAAGTACCTCCTCCATTCCGATCCCCAAAACCAAAGCTATCATGCACCTCATTATAGCCACTTGCAACCGACCCAATCCATTGAAATCCCCTCCTATAAATAACCTCACGGTAGGCGGAATATTACGCACAATCTCATCCAACCCCTCCCAGAAGCGCATTTTAACCTCCTCATCCAAGCCTGTTTGCGGCGCGTAAGCACTAATGACATTCAGGGTACATCCACCAACCACCAACTTAATAGTCATTAATCTATCATTCACATGCCTAACCTCTACCACAGACTCTCTAAGATCCTTATCTACCAAAATACCCACTTTATTCTTACTTTTCAGGACTTCAGAGTACCACAACTTATACTCATCCGCGTCTCTTGCCCTCGATCCTTCCCACCTAGTTGAAATGTCAAAAGTTTATCATTAATTATAGAGTGTAACACGCTTTTTCTTACCGATGAATATCACAAAAGATTACTCTGCTTTACCGAACTTTCCTCATACCTCCTTTTCATTCAATTGGATAAAACCTTACATTCTGCTTTACCGAACTTTTTCTTCTACTTTCCCCAACTTGGAATATCTAAAAGAATCTCCTCCCATCGATTCTGTTTAATAGTCTCTTTCATCTACCAGAATGATGCACTAAATTAATAACCCTACTAGTTAGGATTAATAAATAGCATTTTCGGTGACTATAATGCGTGGTAGGGGTATACAAAGGAAACCGATAAACCGCACCAACCCGATAATCCGAGTCAAACCGGAAAAAAAAAACCCCGAATTTGGTTTGATTTGGTTTGGTGTTGGAAAAAAAAATCCGACCATAATTGGTTTGGTTTGGTTTTAACTAAAGAAAGCCAAAGCAAAACCAAAACCAACCCGACATTACATATATAAAATTTTTAGATATATTTAATATACATAAATATACTTATTGTGATGTAATTTATAAATATTTCTTAAACTTTTTCATAATTTTATCTTTTAAGGTATTATTTCAAGGCTGGACTTAGAACTTGTGAATGTTCCAATAAATTTTAAAGACATTAATATTAGTAACTTAAATAATGCTAACAAAAGCTCAAACAAAAATCAAATCAATCCTAATGTTAACAAAAAAAATATTCAATTCAATACTACGAACAGCAATGTATTGAATATCTATTTTTTGTTTTGCAATAATTTAGATAAAAATGCATATTTTTATTTTTTCTTTAGCGTTTAGTCATGTAATTAATACTCCCTTATTAGTTTGCTTATTTTAGCATAACTTTATACTTTTTGATTATGTTTATTTTATTATGACTTTTTAATTAGCAATTTACATTACATAATATTGTCTTTATTGTTGAACATTTTAGGATAATGCCACGACACATCTCATATTTTATATTATTTTTTTGAAAAATACCTTATATAGTTGGATCTTACTAGGCTTAAAGAAATATTTTGAGCACAAGTTATATGTTTTGTGCTACGAAGATTTTACCGGAAAAAAATCCGAAAAAACCCGAATAACTCGAAAATCCGAGAAAAATCGAGATTGAAAACCCCGAATTTTATTGGTTTGGTCTTTAGATTTAATAACCCGACACAATTGGTTTGGTTTGATAATTGCAAAATCCGAACCAACCCAACCTATGTACACCACGCATTATATCGTGGTAGAATACTAGCCAATAATTGTGAAATATTCCAAACACAACTTAAATTTTTTGCTGACAACGAAAATAGACTTCACCGTTCAAGTTCCTGATGTAGATACGTTACCAACTCCAAAAGAACACACATACTGTTACGCGGCGCCTTCCTGAGATTCCTTGAAAGGGCGACGTAAGGCTAGGCAACTGATGTCGGTGCAGTTGCTGTCCGCCAACTGAGGTCCCCTCCGTACGCTAGACGAGATTGTTAGTGTCGTACGGGAAAACCAATGTCAAGAGCAATTGAGAGAACAAAAATGAGAATTCAGAATGAAAGAAAGCTTGATTGCATTAATGAAAGCTATTACAGAAAAGCAACGCGGTGTCGAGGGGGAGAGACACCAGTACAGAGGATTGCTTGCTTGCTAGAAAGTTTTGATTGCTTGATCCCCCCTAATAGTACTTAAAAAAAATAATCTAAAGTTACAAGACTAGACTTGACTAAGCTAGAGAAACATAATGGAAGTACATGAAATAAAACTACTCTATATTTACAATGAAAATGACTTAGTTTTCTATAAGGCAGCAGCAGGTCCGTTGTCAGCAGCAGTGTCTTTGGCATCACGGTCTGCGCGCGTGGCGTTGTTGGCTTTTGCCTGCGCCTTGGCGCTCGCGAGGGATATCGGTGGGGCGACAGAGGCACCTGCGCGCTTGTTACTTGGCGCGGCCAAGACCACGGGGCCGTCCGTAGCTCTAGGCATTGGGAGGTTCGCTAGGACGCCACGAGGCGCGCCCAAGAGGTCATGGGGCATGGCTGGAAAGCCGCCATGACAGTACTCACCAAATTTCATATCTATTGGCTATCATTATATTGTGCTTAATAATATTCTTCATCTTCATCTCTTTTGTTAAAAGAAGCTAATTATTAGTATAAGCAGATCCGCACGTTTTAAGTCTGAAAAGTGGTCGTCATTATTAGTTGTTGCTGTTTGACCAACCAGCAGTTTTATGCGATTGTCTCCAACTTTTGAAAATATTATTAGGATGTACTAGTAGTGGTTTTCACAGTATACTAGGATTAGTTCGATTATGCAAATATATGAGGAATTCACGTATGTTTGCTTACTTTTGGGGTAAATATTAAATTAGTTTATGAATGATCCGCTATCTTTTTGATGATTTTCACAAATATCCACTTTTATGATGGGTATTGAAATATAATCAACGTTGGCAAATTAGATGTATCGGTCTGTAGGGGGAAACTAGGGTAAATGAAGGTGTTAAAAGAGACCAGTTAAACCTAAAATCACATGGAAAGAGTTGTTTTGAAAGACCAATAAATCCTTGGAAATAATCACTACCAGAATTCCGGAAAAAAGCGACCAAACTTTAGCGACCAAAGTTGGTCTGTCGTGAAAAGCGACCAACTTTGGTCGCTAAACTAGCGAAAATAATAAAAGAAATAGTTGAAACAAATTAGCGACCAAGGTTGGTCGCCACTTGGTCGCTAAATTAGTCAAAATGTTGACTGGACTGGTCAGACTTGCTTGGTCAAAGATTTACTGAGATTAGCGACCATTGTTGGTCGCTAAAGTGGGACCCACCTACAAAATTTTAATAATTATATTATTATTTTAAAAAAATTATAAAATTTAAATATATATAATTTAAAATTTGCGACCAACGTTGGTCGCTAATTAAAGGGTAGGCAGATAGCGACCAATTTTGGTCGCTAAAGTGGGACTCAGTTATAAAATTTTAATAATTATATTATTAATTTAAATATTATATAAAATACAAATAAATCTGATTTAAATTTAGCGACCAAACTTAATTAAATTCATGTATAATTAGCGACCAAAGTTGGTCTCTATTCAGGTCAACAATGGTCAAAATTAAAAATCACTTTTGTATTTTCTATCTAAATAATATAAATGTAAGCCGTTAATACTTTTGTAATACAAGGGATGAATAGTATACGAACCGTGCGTGTGTGTGTATATATATATACTTACGCTATACTATGCACTAAGTATAAGTGCATTAGCTAATATTATATCGAATATAGCTTTTATATATATATATATATACTTACGCTATACTATGCACTAAGTATAAGTGCATTAGCTAATATTATATCGAATATAGCTTATATATATATAATATATATACTTACGCTATACTATGCACTAAGTATAAGTGTATTAGGTAATATTATATCGAATATAGCTTGTATATATATATAATATNGGGCTCTTTGGGCTCAAGCTTATGACTGACCTGCCCTTTGCACGCCTGGTTTATGGTCTTTCCATATGGGCTACGTTCAAGCCCAAAATGGCTAGGACCTGAAATCATATGAGCTCATGGACCCAAACGTAATAACTATTAGATAATATTAATTAATTAGGACTCTTTCTTTTATTATTAGAGACAAATAAAATATAGAGAATCATAGTTGCTTTTAGGGTTGCCTTTTAAGTAATAAATGAGATGAGCCTCGCCAAACAAAAAATATGTAAATTGCGAGGCCCTCAATAAACGTTTGTGTTAAAATACTTAGACTTCGAGATGGGCCGTTTAGCGAATTTCACGGCCTTCTCCAAAGATAATAACGCGATAGTCTCGTTAGGCACGCAATTTAAATAATTTTACCTTCCTAAATACGGGTGCACATTTATGTGACCCAAATCCAAATCCCAACGAAGTCGAAATGTATCAAAAATCGCGGGTGCATTTATGTGACGCGGTTTGAGACGTGTTTTCACGACGTTGCAATTCTCTTAAAATAATAATAATAAAAGCTGTTCAAAGTTAAAAGCACATAGATTAAAACATGTACTAAAATCAAACAAATAAGCCAAATATGACAGTTTGAGCGACCGTGCTAGAACCACGGAACTCGGGAATGCCTAACACCTTCTCCCGGGTTAACAGAATTCCTTACTCGGATTTCTGGATCGCGGAGTGTTAAACAGAGTCATAATTTCCTCGGTTCGGGATTCAACCGGTGACTTGGGACACCATTAATCTCCCAAGTGGCGACTCTGAAATATTAATAATAAATCCCGTTCCGATTGTCCTTTAAGTGGAAAAACTTCTTTACACCCTGCGGGTGTAGGAAAAGAAGGTGTGACAGCTCTGGCGACTCTACTGGGGAGAAGAACCCACAATTTCGGTTCAGGGTTCAAGAATTCGAGCTCAGTTAAATTGTTATATTTGGCTTTATCTGATTTTGCTACATGTTCCATGCCTTATGTGCTAAATGCTTTACCGCTTTGATATTATTGGAACTGTATATATAAACTGTGCCGAAATCCTTCTCTTCTCACCTCCGGGGATGTGCTTACTGGTTGAGACTCCCTATTCTGTTAGTGTCATACCTTGAAATAAGAAAGAGGCCGGACAAGTTACTAAGCCGGACAATCTCGCAGGTTCCCGGTACGTAGCCCCCTCCTCGACTCGAGTTGTCCGCTCGGGTACACAGTCTAGAACCCATACCCAGGATTTGAACCTAGAATAACTTGACTTCATGCCGGATCCCTAGTAGGAGCGCTTATTTGCATCACGTGCATACGACTTACGGGACTCAACACCGGGGTTGGGTCCGTCTAGGACAGGTAACCTGAAATGAAAAGACCATCCCGATGCATCTTACGTGTTGCGTGTGCATTTATTTGTCTCGGACTTGCATGCTGACAGACTTTGGAGTATTTGGGAAAATTGAAAAAAAAAGAGAAAAAAAAGAAACAAAGAAAAAAGAAAAAAAATAGCAGTATAGAGAGTTAATAATAACCAATGTCAGAATAGTGTCGAAACTCTGCCGAATTTTTGAGAAAAATGAAAAAAAAAGAAAAGGAAAATTTTTTGTTTTCAAAAATGGTTTGTTTTATTGAAAAAGAAAATGCAAAAAGAGTATTGTTTTCCGAAATAGTGTATTTGTCAATGGAGAAGAGTCTT